TGACAGTAATAAATTTTTCCTTCTCAAAGAGTCTGTCCTCATCTTATCGAAATCTTCTCGCACCTGCTAAAATGTCGATTTGTTTAATGAACTCTCACAAGTAAATAATGCTGCAATGTATTGTATATCGGTATAAAATCATCTCATTGAGAATGCACAATTATAATTTAGGAAGAATCAAAGAAAGTCTTCCGCGTATTGGTATAAGTAAAAAACATCGATCTCATGGAGAATGAAATGCACAATTATAATTTAGGAAGAAGCAAAGAAAAGAAAGTCTTCCGCGTATTGGTATAAGCAAAAAAGCAATCACAGCACAATTAATAAATAAAGCGTCAGATCTTAATCTATCATCTTTCGCGAGTCCCAGAATGAGGTATAATTTAGGAAACTTCTAAACTGAATTTATACGTGAAAGAAACAGAGTTATTTTTGAAAATCAAGTGTCTTAGAGTCAACTCCTTATTGTTATATAAACAGTCACAGCTATAATTTAGGAAACTTCTAAACTGCATTTATACGTGAAAGAAACAAAGAATTATTTTTGAAAATCAAGTGTCTTAGAGTCAACTCATTATATAAACAGTCATCAGAATTTTTTTACTCTCAACATTTTTACTTAAAGTCTAAAAATCTAAAAATTTAAATAATATTGTCTCAAGACTTAAATTTGACAAAATGCTCTCCAAAAACTTTCTCGGCCTGTTTCAACTTTTTCTCGTCTTGATACTATTAATATCGATATGCAGCAATTTTTTCGTTGCTTCATCGCCAATTAAAAGAAGGTAAATTTAGTCAAAATCTAATAATGAAAGTTTTTCAATAAAAACAATTTTGATTTGCTCAAAACACAACTACAAAAATAAACTCTTTTTAGCGCCACTCCTGACGAAAAACGTGGATGGTTTAAGCCAGCATTTATGCATTATAAATGATCCCCGATAAATTTATTGGAATTTCAATTTCAAAATATTTTTTGATAAACACATTTTTTTATATTGTTTATATTTCATTCGGCTAGCGATTTTCAAAATTTTGTAATACATTAGTTATATCGATATTGTATTAATTAATCATCGTTGCTAAAAAAAAAAGATTAATAGCTTTCACTTGTGTGTATGAAAAATGATAGATTAATTTGATGTATTATTTATCGTTGTTGTTTGCTTTAGATAGGTGTTAACGATCCCGTCCGGTCCAAAAGCTGCAGCCTGGATCTGTGCTTGGACATTCAATAAAACTGAACTGCATCTTGAAAATGTTCCTGGGCTGCAGTCCAGGACCAGTATTTATAAATTTAGCTAGTTTCAAATAGGTAGTGAAACAAGATTGCTATAAATTGATCATAACAATAGGACTTCAGTTCCATTGGACGGTTTGGGGCCGTTTATTAAGCTACAGTTTGAAACTCGGTCCTATTAGAATTTTACGTGATATTAGGACCGAAAAAGCTCCAGAGTATAAACTATAAAATCAAAGATGAGTCAATTTCTTGCTAAGAGAAATAAAGATTGTGAGACATATCGTTACTAAATATGAAATAAAAATAAAATTTTACCTTCGCAATTATCCTTTTTTTTTCAATTAATAATAGATAAAATATTATCACTATTGTCTTAATTGAATAAAAATGAGATCATTCCCGTTTATTTGCTTAATCTGACATGTTTTCATTAGGACGCTTACTGTTCGTTTTATGACCTTTGAAATCTAACAATGAAAAATGTTTTAACGACGTTGTCGTTGTTAACGAAAAAAAAATATAGGCAAATATTATAATCACTACGGCCTCATTGAGTTCGTTTAATTCCTTCATGTGTTTTAGGATATTCCATAGAACCGTAGTACTGAAAATGCAAAGCATTCAGTCTCCATCCTTTATTGTAATCGCAGATAGATCCGAGGAATGTGTGAAGTTCCTCTGTTTCTGGAATAGGACTCCAACATTTTTCAATAATAAATTTACACCATCCAGGAATATTATTTGGTATCATAGGTCGTACTCCTTCATAAATGTCGCATGTGCGATTTATGATTTCGCCCACCAAATGGTCGTTCACCTGTTACAATCTCAGCCAAAACCTATGATTATCTGCAGCTTTAGTCCATTTAGCAATTTTACACAGATGATAGAGAATATTTTTTAAATATCTCGATTTTTCTCTTCATGTCAATATTTTATCATTACTATCGAGTATTCATCTGTAGCTGGATTTTTAATAGGTTATCCCATAAAAACTCCGAAGTGCAGTACACTCAGTCTGAACCTATTTTTGAAAATCAACTCAAAAAAGCAACTTGCTTATTGTTCATCTGCTTTGAATTGTGTGATGATTTCAGCACAACTTCTTTATTTTTGTTATGATCCCACCTTTTGTCATGGATATGATCGTGCAATGATACTTTATAAACCCTCATTTTGCAAGATATTCAACATTGGTGAATCTTTTAAAAGGGATCCATTCAAATGATTTTTCATAAGATCATGTAGTTTCATGCATTCATTTATTACGTAGACTGTTGATCTCTATTTTTGCTCGACTATAAATTCATTGGTGATATTGAAAACATCTATCGTGGCAATTCGGCAATAAAAATATTTACTACAATTATATATTGGACAGAGTTCATTCATTCTATAAGATGGTTTTAGTGATTAAAACTTAATGATGATATAATAAACGAAAAGCTATACCTTTGTGTTGACAGTATGCATTGATGCATTTGTGTGTGGAGTATGAAAAAGAGCCTTTTAAAAGAGTCATTTCTTCATAATCATTATTGTCTTGTTAAAAGAAGCATATTTATATGCGCAAATCGATTTGTAAATATATCTACAACGATAGATTGCATAATTTGTCGATGCGGTAGCAAGTAAGCTGACGCTAATTTTGCGAACTAACGTAACAAACGAAGACGATGTCTAGCGCTAATGATTTAATTCATTCATAAGATATCGATATGATTTTATTTATTTCAATAGAATATAAATTACATGTAATAATGCGCTAGGATTTTATTTATTTCAATAGAATATAAATTACATGTAATAATGCGCTAGGCTCAAGAAAATACACATAAAAATAAGTAAGGTAAATGTTCAATGGTATAGATCCTAACAATTAAAAGATGAATTATTACTATCCTTCATTTAATTTGTATAGAGTTGCCATTTTCTTCTAAAAAAGGACGGTGAGTGTTCTTGTTTAAAGTGTTTTATCATGAACTTGTAGTTTTTCTCGTAAGACACTCGATATCTCTTCTTTCTCTATCGCTATAATTTCAAATGGTAGCACTATCACTATAATTTCAAATGGCAGCATTATCAAAGAAGAATAGTAATGAATTAAAAAAAAAAGTTACTAGAATTGACTATCATTCTTTTCGTCTCGATTGATAATCCCCCTTTTATTTGATCCTTCCGACACGTTTTCAATAAGACGTTTGTTGTTCGTTTTATGATCTTTGAATCTAGTTTATCGAAACTCAAAGGTATTTAAAACGTAAAAAAACATACGTTGTGTTTGAATGGTTAATTCTTTTGAGCTTGAATTTAAATTTTGGCGTGTTTTGCACCATTCATAATATCAAACTCTTGTGAGACATATGCCGACATTATAAATACCTTCATTTGCTTCGTTTGGAACATATAAACTGACTTGTAGATTTGGCATCCATATTTAGTGGTAACATATCTAGAGTTTTATGCAGTAATATACTGGCTTCTGATACTGTATTTTCTTAAAATATAGCAAACAATAATTTTACCTTCGTTTGGAACATGATATCTGACGAAACTATTTTCATGATGACGAAACATTTCGTCACGTCATTCGTCAGACGAAGCCCCTGACGATAACGAAACCTGTGACGAGTGACGAAACCTTCTGAACAATCAAATAATAGCTTAAATCACATAAAACCTGTGATGAACCTTCTGACCAATCAAAATAATAGCTATTCATTTTGCAAGTTATATTTGTTGTCTATCGATAATTTTAATTTCTTCCGAATATTTCTAAAAGCCTCGGTAAAATATTTTATGATTTCAAATCGCAAGCTGGACAGGTCAATTGCGTCAATGACTATTGTCTTATTGATTGTATTTGGTGACTTGATCAAAGCACGATATATTGTTGCAGGTATGAATTAATTAGCAGGTTTAGAGATTTTTTACCTACAACAAGGGACTGGGAACAATATACGTAGACTAAATTTAGGTTAATAGTTTCTAAAACATGTGCTGATATCGATATCTACAGATATCATTAGTTGTAAATTCAAATTCTTATCCAAAGTCTAATAACGAATTCAATCATCATCTGATGCCTTTTCTGGAGCAAGGATCTAATCATCAAATAACGTTAACGTTTAATATAAAAGGATTTTACAGGTCTTAATTTACTTGGAGAATGATGCTATACAATTTTATTGATGACCTAGAGGCCGTTCTTTAAATACATTTTCTTGAATATTATAAGCTTTATCGATACAATAGGAATTAATAATGATAAAGAATTCATTAATTTAAATGCTATATTATGTGCTATAATTTTTTGCATTTTTGTAATCAAAGAAACGGATCATTTCTATTTTTTTAAGTTACGAATGAAAAATAAAATAATTCATTTATATTTGTTGACTAAAACAAGTCTAGTTATACATGTATATTGTTTAACGTTGTGTACGAGAAGTCATTGCATCGCGAAATTTGATGCATTAATTTTGAAAACCAATCTAGTTTATTAGTCACGTGCTTTGGTTCGAATTATAAATTTGATGTTACCCAAAATGAAATCTGGGTCCCGTAATCTCTTGATTTTCCCACGCATTGTTCTGTTTAAGGTCAAGGGTAGCTACCCCTAACGTCATATTGATACTATCTATGACAAGTTATTTCATGTTCTAATGTCTGCACTCCTAATACCAATCATAAAATATGCAATTGTCATTTCGTAGTGCATTTCTAGTCGTATGTTCTCGTAATATCAATATCAATAATGTTATTGCATCGAAAAGATGTTTTGCTTCTGCAGGTATGTGTTCTATATTAAATATTTTCGTTATATAAGACCAATCAATCAATTAATCATTAATCATTAATCGCCAATGATTTCCTCAAATATTGCACTGTGTTGTTTTCTGAATCGATTGCGTTTGATAATAATATAGCAAAGGTATGAATTCTGTGTATGTGTTAAAGTTGAGTGTGATGAGTCTGATGAATATAATCATTTTATATTAAAGTATTCACGAAATAATGCAATCGGCTTCATTGGACTTGGGCAAATGGTACGTTTTAAATAATGTTATTGCTGTTCTATTTTCGATTTGTCTCGATTTATCATATTTCTTATGAAGGGTTTTAAAATGGCCAATAATCTATATCGAAAATCTGGCGCACCATTTGTCCTTTACGATTTAAACGCGCCAGTCATTGATAAATTCATCGAGTTACAACAAACCTCATCCTTGGCAGAAATTCGAATTGCGAAAACACCCAAGGAGGTAGCTCAAGCAGCATCGGTGGTGATTACAATGTTACCGAATTCACCACACGTAGAAGAAGTATACTTGGGTGAGGAAGGATTAGTGCATGCGGTAGACAAGGATAATCTTCTGATTGATTCGAGTACTATCGATCAAAGTGTAGCAAAATCTGTCGCGGAAGCTATTATCGCTAAAGGTGCACGTGCTATTGATGCGCCCGTTTCTGGAGGTAAATATATTCATGTATTATTAGTTATTGTTCTCTATTCTCTAATCTGTTCTTTTAATAATTGCAGGGATTGTGGGTGCTGAAGCCGCAACTCTAACATTTATGGTAGGTGCACCTACAACCGAAGATTTTGATCGCGCCCAACCAATACTTTCTCAAATGGGAAAAAACATTATCCACTGTGGAAAATCAGGTAGTGGTCAAACAGCAAAAATATGTAATAACATGCTTCTCGCTATCTCCATGATCGGCGTTTCGGAAACGATGAACCTCGGTAGAAAACTAGGAATGGACCCAAAATTACTAGCCAACATTCTTAATTCTTCAACGGGCAGATGTTGGTCCAGCGATACTTATAATCCGGTACCCGGTATTCTGCCGAATGTCCCGTCGAGTAATGACTACAAAGGCGGCTTTGCAACCAAATTGATGGCCAAAGATTTACGACTTGCTGTTAATGCAGCTAATGATACGCAATCGACTATCTTATTGGGCACTGTAGCGCAACAATTGTACAACCAGCTTTCGGAAACTCCTGGTTTCAAAGATAAAGATTTTAGTTCAATATATCAATGGCTGAATCTTAATAAAGACGATTAGGAAACTTTTTATACATATAAATTTTTTATACATATCAATTTAATCACGGCTTTTGGGACTCGATAAATAACAGTAGGTGATAGATGATACATTTAGAGGGATCTATATTTAAATTAATTAATAGGATACATTTTCATCTTCTATTTGTTTATACAGTAAGAACTAAAAGTGCCATCCAATCACGCGTTATATTCAAAGAATAATAAATATTGATAAAAAAAAAGAAATATAAATTTCAAATATAGATTTATTTAATTTACATATTTACAACGCAAATATTAACTATAACATCAAACAAATAAAATTATGCGCCCTTCAACTTGTACTTTAATTTTTCCAAATTAGCAACATTCTCTTCCGAACTCCAAATCCAATATAATGCCAAACAATCAAGGAGCAGAGTTCCCAACGGGATTCCCCACCATAACTTTTGCATAAAATGTTCAGCGTTCATAGCCAACAAAAACGGAAGCAATGAGATCCCAATTCCAACAAATATTAGAATATTTGTTGATTTTCGGGATTGCAGAATGTATATTGAGAAAAATAATGCAAAGATACATAGTAGTGTTGATAGTAGAGGAGATGATGTACCGGAAGCATCGGCTGGCAATATTAGTGATGTGGTGGTTGTTAGATCGTATAGGAAGAAAACATATCTGATTTTGAATCGAATTAAGTTAATTGAGATCACATCATATCTACAGAGTATTCGTATATGATTTACCTTGATGCAAGTAGTCCGGAAATTGACGTCAAAGCTCCCTGTTGACAAATAAATATAATGCTTTAACATAGGTACAAACGCACTCAGGTAGTAGAGAAACAAATCAATTATATTTACCCTAAAAAAATTATTAGCCTTATCATTCTCCTTGCGTAAGTTTACAACTAATTGCTCTTGTTCTTTAAAGAAATCAAACAATAAGGAAATTGTAAATTAGAAAATAAAAGGATCTCGTTATTTTTACCTTCTTCGTCCAAGATTTCCGCTGTTTCTCCCAAATTTGAAGAGTTAATTTGTCTCCTTTTCAGTAATTCCATTTCTGAAAAAAACCGACTAAATTAAAGAATGATGTCATATGTAGTTGTTCAAATTAACGTCGTACAATCAATGCTGATCACTTTTATTTATTAATAACAAAAAAGTAAATACAATTTAAATATTAAAGCAGAAATATAACTAAACTATTGTATTTATATATTTTATTGATTCAATCCTGCTTGCTGTCTAACTTTTTGAATTAAAGCGCGACGCATGAATTGTTCACGTGCAAGTGTACGTATACTCTGAAAGTAAAGGATACAAAATAATTACTGTTACTGTATTATTATTAATAAAAAATTAGCCGTTAAACAAAATACCTTCATAAACGTCTGCAAATCTATTCTTTCACTGTTTAAAGCTTTGCCCAGGTAATAAATTGTATCATCAATAGCATTGTCCTCGGCCACCAATTCAAATAATCTATTTATGAAATAATTAATTAATAAACAATAATCAAAAGTGATGTTATGTGGCGTCAATCAATTACTCAACTGATTATATACAATCGTGGTTCCACATAACACATCATCAACCGATATCTCAGGTATATTAGAAGCTTGCTCGATTAATCGATCAACCTCCGAACTCTTTGCTTTTATATAATCAATCTTTTCTTGTAATTGATTTTGCAACTCGATTAATTGTTTCTTTTCTTTCTCGATTTGCTTCTCGCTATTATTTAGTTGTTCCGAGAGACTCATCATCTTATTTATTTCAAGTGTAGCATTCTCGTGGTAATAACTCCAATCACGTTCAATTTTCTCGTATATATCAACTTGAAGTTTCACTATTTCGGGACTCTGATTATTGATTACTCGTGCTGGAGGCTGTGAGTTAATCGGTGGTGGTGGTGTATCTAATATACTAGGAATTTGATGTGATGGTGGTGAAGATTGTAAAGGTACGACGACGCTTCCACGTAATAGCGATTGAGGCTAAAATATTTATTAATAATAATTAGCATAAAAAAATATAACAACCGATAACATATAAATCTTTGCTTGGTATTTTACTGGCATAGAAAAACTTGTGTTTATAGGCGAATTTGTAGTTCCACTTTGACTTATAGGTCTGTTTATCTCTACATTTTGATTGATAGATTGGTATGGAGGTGGAGGCGGTAAAGGTGGAGGTGTTGGCGATCTCGATGGAAATGGATTATGAGCGGAAGGGGGAACTATATGACTTTGGATAGGTCGTTCTGGTGGCGATAGCGGTTGTGATGATCTCACTGAAGGATTATTATTGATATTTGGTTTGGTATATAATGGTGGATTTTGACTAAAAATGCTTTGAAGAATAGTGCAAAGCTTTGAAATTGTTGATTCCTAACCAAAAAAAACAAAACAATGAAATAAACATATCTTGAGAAAGAAAACATAGTCCTATCATAACAACAATAACAGTAATAAAAATACCTCACTCCTTGACTGCCAAAATTCCAAATAAGGATGATTACATCTACCATTCGGGTCAACATGTATCCCCTTCTTAATTAACATATTTGACGTCGGAACTACAAACACAATCGGTGGACTATGTGGATACTCTGTTGGAATCCAGAATGCTACCTGGATGTAATATGGGTTCGAACGATACGTTATCGGTATCGTGCCGTGTAGACATACTAGCAGTTTGCATTGACCTGTCTCATATGCTGAATATAATATATATTATTAATTAATTCGAAATTGAAATTTTAATATTATGTCTAAACTTGGCAACTTACTGTATGCTTCAAATTTTGGGATAAGGGTTTTATAAAGCAGTCTTGTTTCCTCAACGTCTCTCAAAACTCGATCAATATATTGATACTGACATAATTTTTGGAATAACCGACCAGAATGATCAAGATTACGATTTAATAAAGAAAACAGATTTATTATGTGTGTATGTACATACTTTTGCTGTTATCAGACTTTGTTTAAGCCAGGTTTTCAAGTTTAATTGTTCCAAGTTTAATTGATCCATGAGACGACGCGCGTGAGATATATGGCACTTTCTTTCAGGATTCAGGGATCCATTTATTTTGGGTAATCCATGTAGAATCATGTGATTATCTGGCCAGCATTACAGAATTAAAGATAATCCTGCCCCAAATTTTTTTATTTTTATTTCCTGACAGCATGTTTTTGCTTAGTTACCACACAAAAAAATTAACTTCAAATTATATTAAAGCCCTCAAAAAAATTAGAAAATACATGAATCAATAGTTTATTGACTACTCTATAACATTACGTATTTTTTTGACTGAAAAAGTTCAGGTTATTGAGTTAATAGTTCTTAAAGATTTGGCCGATTGTGGTAAGTGACCTGCACTATATAATACAAAAAATGTAATTTTAAAGAATTTGTAATTTTCTATGCTAAAATTAGAAAAATGTGTGTATAAAATATAATTTTATTAAAATAAAGATTATAATATATTAAAAATAATGCAATGCAAAAAAATTTATTAATAAAACATAGTAAAAATACGAAAAATATGAAAGTTATTTTTATATTAAAGTATTTAATTTACTAATAAATATTTTTTATTTTATATTAAGTAAAGATAATATTATATATTTTATTTTTTTCAGATTTTTTTAAATTTATTTTGACAAAATTATTCTAATTGTATATAAAGTTAATAATTTTTTATATGTTTTTATTATAAAAAATTATTAATTATATATACAATTAGAATAACTTTATTAGATTAAATCTAAAAAATCTGAAAAAAATAAAATATATAATATTATCTTTATTTTAATATAAAATAAAAAAATTTATTAATAAAATTAAAACTTTATATAAAGAGAAAAATCTATATTTTTATATTTTATCAATAATTTTTTTTGTATTGCATTATTATTATATTTTAATATATAGTAACTAATAGGATTATAGAATTATATATATAATTTTATTAAAACATAATAAAAATTAAAACTTTTTAATTTTATTAATTATTAGTTATAATTTAATATATATTTTTTTCTGGATTTTTTAGATTTTTTCTGATTAAGTTATTTTAATTGCAAAGTTATTGCAAAAAGTTTTTATAATTAAAATATAAAATTATCTATAAAATATTTTTGCAAAATAAGTTAATTAATATAAAATTATACATATGATTTATTAATAAAATATAGTAAAAATTAAAATTTTTGTTTTATATAAATATTTTTTCTTTTTATATTAAAATAAAAATTATATATTATATATTAATATATATTTTTTCTGATAAAGTTGTGCTAGTTGCAAAAATATTTTATAATTAATTTTATATTTTAATTATAAAAATTTTTGCAATTAAAATAACTTTATCAGAAAAAAATTTAAAAAATCCAGAAATTATATATTAAAATATAATATATAATTTTGTTTTAATATAAAAATAAAAAATATTTATTAATAAAATTGAAAATTTTTATATAGTGACTAACAGAATTATAAAATTATATACAATTTTATTTTGTAATTAGAACAACTTTATCAGAAAAAATCTAGCAAAAATATATATTAAAATATAATTTATAATTTTTATTTTAATATAAAAATAAAAATATTTATTAATAAAATTAAAAATTTTTACTATATTTTATTAATAAAATTATATATATAATTTTATAATTTTGTTAGTTATTATATAAGACAAAAATTTTAATATTTACTAATAAAAGATAATTTTGAATTATAAATAAATATAAATTTATTTGAATATTAAATATAACTAATTATAAATAAGAGCTGAAAATAAAAAATTAGTTAAATTTTTAAATTATTAATAATTATAATCAAATTTTTTTATAGTCATATTTATTTATAGTTATATCTCTTTATAATTATTTATTTTATTTTATTTTTTTATTTACATATAAAAATTTTCTATAATTATCAAATTTTGATTTTTAAGAGTAATAACTAAGGTTGCTTGCTGAAATCCCTTAGTGACTGTCTAAATTCTGTCTAAATTCTGTCAAAATTATAATAAACTATTAGTAAATAATCTGTCAAAATTCTGACGAATTTTGAAACCCATCATAATCAAAATTATGTCAAAATTCTAATTAACAATTAGTATGAGTGGAAATAACATAATTATGTTATTTCCACTTAGTCTAGGTTATTCCCACTCAGGTATGTGTTATGACGACAGAAATGCGACACCGTCGTCAGTGTCATGATGACAGAAACGCGACACCGTCGTCAGTGTCATGATGACAGAAACGCGACACCGTCGTCAGTGTCGTGATATATATTTTATGACACATTTTTGACAATAGAAATGCGACACCGTTGTCAGTGTCGTGATATATATTTTATGACACATTTTTGACGATAGAAATGCGACACCGTCGTCAGTGTCGTGATATAT